AAAAAAAAAAAAAAAAAGAATAGAACTCATCACAAAACGTTGTTACAAGGATTAAATGAGATCCATGAAGTACTTAGTACAGAGCTTTGCCCATTTCAGTGCAGCCAGGCCTTAAATGAATGTCATTTGTTCAGACCTTATAATGGTGAGAAAGAAAGAATCCCATTTTGTTCAATGAAGCTACTTTATTTCAAGGGCTTGGTTTCATTCTAGGCTGTTCTTTATGTCGCCGTTTCTAAAAACCTTAGCCAAAGTGAAAGATGTCAATAAATGAGAATTGCAATTTGGAGTAGATTTAACCTCATCTCTTCAAGGACTCTGAGTTGGTCCTGAGGTGAGTAAGAACCCGCTGGCATTCTGATGACAGGAAGGAAGCCATAATTAACGAAGTCGTTCCCACTAGGACCTTCAATGACCGCAGTTAATGCTGCCAACCTGCCTTCAGCCGCTCCCAGAAAAAGATGATTTTCAACCCTTCGTTCAAAAAGCTTCACACTCCAGACGACCTTCCTAGGGTTTCAAAATGCAAATAGTAGGCATTGTCCCTGCCAGGTGAGAGATTGTCAACTTCATGAACTCATGTCCGACTTCACCTGCCAGACATCTGATCTCTCTGGCCACAGGGAGCTGGGCTCCACTTTCTGCGTGTGGAAATTAATACCAAACTGGGTTACGTGCTCATTCACACACACAGTGGGTGGGGATGACACTTTCCAGTAACAACTATACTTACCTCCCTTCTGCCCACCTGAGGAATCATCCTCACTTTCCTTTCCCAAGGGCTGAGAAGGGCAAGGCTGAGGAATTCTGGAGAGTTCTAGCTTTCTCTCCATGCCACTTCCTTACACAGCTGGCAAGAAAAACATTCAAACTTGCTTCTAAGAGGCTACCAGGGCCCTGGATAATGATCTTATGCAAACAAGTGCACCCAGGTGTGGGGCCACCCCTCCCTGCCTTTGATAGGAGCTGAGCTCTCTGGGCCCCACCCTGTCATTTGGTTACCAGCTGAAGCCTGGCTCTGCACTCCCACCCCCACTCCCATAAACAAGGGTGGGCCTTGATTCAACCCTTGTCCAGTAACTTGACAGGCTGCCAGAGCACAGCAGATAAGAGGGTTATGGCCGGGCAGGTTGCAGCAAGGGCTGCCCTATTTACCAGTCCAGCAGAGAAGGTGGACCCCAGGGGAGCCAGGGCAGGGCCAGACAGCGAGTGAATGAGGATAACTGATCAGAAAAAGCCATGAATTTGAAGCCTGAGCTCAAGCCTTGTGAAGAGAACCCTGCTCTCAGGAGTCCACTGTCATCCTGAGAGACCAGTGAGATGAGTTATTGTCATTTTAAGAGAAATCCGAAATGTAAATTTTTATTCACCCTCTCCCTAAATTCAAATCACAGTAACTAATTTTCAAAAGTACTTAACACTGTTTTTTAGGAAAGTACATACATACTTTATGACCACCTGGCACTTTGAACCCTGCACCCTAGGAGGGAGACATTAATGCAGCCAGTCACGAGGGCCGTGTGCTCTCGGAAGGACTAGCCTGTTATGCTCCTGGTAGAACTGGGCACACGGCGGCCTCAGTTTTCCCTGCAAGGATTACACTAGAAGACGTCCCCACGCCCACAGGTGTGTCCATTAACATCGACTAGAGCCCAAGCCTCATGGCATTCCCTGCCTCTTCCTACCACCCACCTAGATCTGTTAACTCTTGTCTCTCAAGATGCAGACCGTCTTACAGGTAGCTTTCCCTTCCCAGGCTGGGAGGTGAGCTCTATCATCCCCAATTTTTTCCTCTGGCCTAGTCTGCACAGCCTTCATCTTGTAGTTGAAAGAAAAAGGGGCCCTAGAAGCAGAGTTCCATGCTTAGAAGGTGTTGTTAGGGAATGTTGGCTGAATGATTGAATGTCAAATTGCCAAGGGTCAGAGGTTAATAGATGAAAGGGACTTAGATCACGTCCATTCAGGGGCAGTTCAAAATAGCCAACCTGTGATTTCACCTTCTTAAGGAAGCCATCTTTTAAACATAGCAGACCCTTGGGTCTTTGACACCTGCCCTTGGAATGTAGATGTCACTTAGGAGGGGGTAGGTGCACTTTAAATGGAAATATGGGAGACCAGTTACCCTCAGGTAGCCTCCTAAGTGGGTTTACCCAGAAGGCGAGCACCTGGGGAGAAGGGTGGGCTGCCATCTGGAAAGAATGCTGAGGAGGGTGGCCTGGGACAACAGAAACCCTTCCCACTGCCTACATTGGAGGCCAGCTGCGGGCCAGCTCTGGGCTAGGGAGTTGGCTAGCCAGGCACTCACCATCAGGAGTCAAATAACTGACAACGAGCACCTGGGGCTGCCCCACCACAGCCTCGGTTTTCTCCTCTGGAAAGGAATCTCTGGCCACTGAATCGCCACCCTATTTCCATTT